CTTATTAGCCCAGGCACCTGTGGTTTGCAGACCTCCACAATCTATCTGTAGCACCACCCTGGAGAATCCCCCCGGACAGGATCTCCCTCTCACAGGGGCCCCTTCTACATCTGGATCCTCAATGGCTCCAATTAGCCGTCTGGAGGTTGAGCGGAACCGCCTGAGGAAAGAGAAATTCTTTAGCCAAGTATTTGACACCATTCTAGCCGCCAGGCGGCCCTCAACTACGCGGATCTACGATGCCACTTGAAATAGCTTCTGCAGGTGGTGTCAGAAATCCCAAGTTAACCCTCTCTCCCCCTCTATTGCTCAGGTCCTGGAATTCCTTCAAGAAGGCCTGCGCAAAGGACTTTCCCCTAACACCCTGAGGCGGCAAGTCACAGCCCTGACAACTGTTGTCTCTTGTGACAATTTTGGCTCCCTCTCCCACCACCCTCATGTTAGGGCTTTCCTCAGGGGAGCCTCCAACTTGTGCCGCCCGACTGTCCACAGGTTCCCTACCTGGGACCTCAATAAGGTCCTTACTTTGCTCACAAAGCACCCCTTTGAACCTCTGAGAGAGTCCTCCCTTCAGTTCTTAACATTCAAGGTGGTGTTCCTGGTGGCCATTACATCGGCCCGGCAAGTATCGGAAATCACAGCCTTATCAGCCAGAAAGGACCTCTGCGTTTTCCACGCCGACCGGGTGATCCTTCGACCCGACCCTACCTTCCTGCCCAAGATCAACTCCACTTTCCACAGGGCTCAGGAACAAGTTCTCCCTAACTTTTGCCCCAGACCCTCGCGGGACAGGGAAATTCTTTGGCACACCCTGGATGTGAGACGGGCCCTGCGCATCTACATTAAGTGCACTCAACCCTTTAGGAGATCGGAATCCCTATTCCTTTCCTTTCAGCCCAAGACTTTGGGTCACAAAGTATCCCCTTCAACTATCGGCCGCTGGATCAGGGCAACCATCTCCAGATGCTACTTATAACAAGCCCTGCCTGCACCCAGTGGAATAACAGCACATTCCACCAGGAGTGCGGCTACTTCGGCAGCCTGGGCCACCCAGGCTCCAGTCACTGACATATGCCGGGCCGCCACCTGGGCTTCCCCGTCTCCCTTCATTAGGCATTACAAGATAGATGTATATGCCTCAGCTGAGGCATCGTTTGGCAGAAGAGTCCTACAAAGGGTCATCGAAGACCCGGAGGGGCTTCCGAACCAGACGGAGTCCCTCCCGTAGAACCGCCAAGCTTTGGTATGTCCCACTCTGGATGCTCCGAGCGGCTTGAGGGAGAATGGGCGTTGGTTCTTACCTGACACGCCCCTTCTCGGCGAGCCATGAGGAGCATCCAGCCCCACCCTATTTTCTCCATCTGGTGGGAATCTTGTTTTGGCCAAGGATCCACTAGTGGTTAGGATGAGTACATAGATTTTTCTTCTCGTCCTCGCAAAACTGGGGAACGCTGCGTGGAGTCACGTGGAGGAGGAGGAGCGTTCCTCAAAAGCTCAGCCTGTGAGAGAGGGGTCTGAAGCACCTCCCACTCTGGATGCTCCTCACGGCTCACCGAGAAGGGGCGTGTCAGGTAAGAACCAACGCCCATTCTACATTGTATTACGCAAGCTGTACTTTGGGTGATTTGAGAATCAGGCCAACCTATGGCACTTATACCATTTTTGCTAATTAAGATGCCAGATCAGTTTCCATTATTTCTCAAACTTCAACCAGAAGTATTATCTGCATTGGTCATTGACCCTTCTAATGTTTCCTAGCATTCATTAAAGCTGGGTGAAATAAAGTTGGAAAATGTCTTCCTTTTCAGGAAGTCCCACAGTAGCAAATAGTTTAGAGGCATGGTTTATTTTTACAGGCTGAAGCATGTTTGAAAGTTTTTTATTTATTTATGAATACTGAGGAAATGCTTGTGATCTATAAACGTACAGAGAGGAATGTGCAGATAACTATTTGATTTGAAGTAACTGAAGTTTTGTTCAGGAATCTGGTTCATAATTAAACTCTCTTGTTTCTCTAGTAGATAAATGTGTTACTAAATCATTAAAACAAATTAGATTAACTGAAATATTAGGCATAGATAAAAAATAATCTCTTTTCATTTCACAAGAAAGCTTGACAGCTGAGTATATGTGTGTTAAAGACTGATTATTTAGCTAAATTTTCAATTTATGTTTATGCTAGTGAAGTTTGTATTAAATTCAACACTTTTAAACTAAAGTAGTAACATATTTGGATAAAGAGAATAGGCAGTTATCTTAGAAAACATCTGTTGCTAAATCAGTGGAAAACAATTTGAGATGGTATCAAAATGCATTTCTTAAGATGACAGAGAATGAAAATAATCAAATGCATGTTAAACTATGTATTGCTATAGTTTAACATGCAGGGAATATTATACCTGGCATACTAAGGAAAAGCCCCTGTCCAGGTAACTTAAGATTTTATATGCTTCATTTATTTTATAATCTTCTCCATCCCATGCTTCTGAGTGACTTGCAATCTCTCTCTGTCTCCCTCTTCCATCCCCCTCCAAGGTTGAAAACTCAAATAAAGAAATGCTGCCTATTTGAGAGAATTTAAACAATTGTTTATTACTTCCAAAGATAGCAGAGTCCAGGGAGACACTATCGCACAGACAAACTGATAACAACCCAAGATTACATAGGTCTTATGTAAAAAGTTGATCAAACAACATTTGAGTACATGCATATTGAATGTATGTATGTATGTATGTATGTATGTATGTATGTTTTTTAAAGTTTTCACAGGTACTTACATGTATGGTATTCAGCTTTGTTCGGGTATTTTCCCACGTCATTATAGTTGTGCTTTTAAAGTTGTAGCAACATTTCGGCAGAATCTCATCTGCCATTATCAGGCTTCTGTATTGTGTTTGTCTGAAGAAAGGTTGCTACAACTTTAAAAGCACAACTATAATGACATGGGAAAATACCCAAACAAAGCTGAATACTGTGTGTGTGTGTGTGTGTGTATACACACATGCATACATGCATACATACATACATACACATACTAATTGGAAACTCCCACAAGAATTGCTTTATAATATATAAGGAAAAAAAGATAATTCTGAGAGGAAGTAGGTATCAATCATTGTGTGAAAGCATTCTTTGAAATGCAGCAGCACAACTTTTCTACACTGGAAAAGATAAGAACACAACAATGTATCCTTGAATCTACTGCCTGCATTCTAGTCATAAATCATATAAGCATATAGTAACAAATCAACAGAAAAACTAGAATTTTCAGCTGTAATTTTCTTACAGCTACAACCGAGAGAGTAAATGCAACACCAGTTTGAAAAGATTATTAGTACAATTATTCAAGCTAAATTCTTATTCCAAATAACTGGACAAAATATATTATTCCAAATATACAGACAAACTATAGCAACCAGCCCCCAAGAAGTGACCTTTGCCATTTCTTTCTAGACCAGTTTCCAATCTGTTTTCCAGGACCACCCTATGAAATGCAGCTTGCAAGAGTTCAACATTTAATTTCATTTCCTCATGTCCAGTTCTCCACTGAATTATTGTTCAATGTGGGTTTTTTTCCTGATTGAATGGGTCCATTTTCTTAAGCAGAACACTTAGAATATAATTTTGTAACAGCCAGGAATACTTGTGGTGCATCAAAAACAATTGTCAGCACTCAGGGGAACAAAGGACGTGAAAGAAAACTATGGAGATCAAGAAGATCAGCATGATATTAAAGAGTTGCTGGGGTCTAGATAACTATCTTAGAATGGTACTCTTCTACCAGACTCTTCTATTGGTCTGTCACTTAGGAACCTTTGGCCTAGTTCTCACAAATATGAGATGAAGAGATAAGCCTGTGTTCCAAAATGAACCAACTAAGTCTGCTGATGAGAACACATGAATTAATATTTTTCATATTAAATAAAATTTTCATGTTGGGAAATTCTGTAATCTTTTTATATCCTTATGAATAAAATTTTCCCCCAAAATTATTTTAAGGTATAACTTTATCTGCCTTTCAGCATTCATAAGGCCTCATGTTTTGCCTAGACCAGGGGTCGCCAACCTTTTGGACCTCAGTGACCACCGAACTTATAATTTTAAATCCCAGGGACCACTAACCAGTTCTGTGAGTGTGGGTGAATTTGTGGGTGTGGCTTGGTCATATGACTGGCTGGGCATGGCTTGCATGTAAATATTATAAGTATTTACATAAATATTGATTTTTTTTTATAAAAAAGAGCAACTTTTACCCCAAATCAGGCAAAGCAGGTGGGCAGATTGAGTTGCTCACAGAATCAGTGATCTATCTATCTGCCATCGGCTAGCTCAGTCTGTCACATAAAATTTACTAGGAAGCAAACTCATAAAATTAACTCACAACACATGTATGTAAATATTGATTTTTTATATATATAAAAAAACAATTTTTACCCAAAATCAGGCAAAGCAGGCAGGCAGATTGAGTTGCTCACAGAATTATTCAGTGATCTATCTATCTGCCATCAGCTAGCTCAGTCTGTCACATAAAATTAGCTTGCCATGAGTCTGCACTGGATAATAGAACCTTCAGTTCTAAGGGAGGTTCGGCTGTACTTAAAAGCAGAGCCGAAGACCTAAAGACTAGCTAGAAAGCAAGAAATCCAACTATTTCCTGCTTCCTAAATAATCTAAATCTTCTGGCACAGCAGAACAGCTAATGGTCGGAAAAATAGCAATTTAGCAGGCAAGTTTGCTGGGTAAGGAGTGGGCAGGGAGGGTTCCCGCGGGCCATGTGGGCAGCACAGCCTTGTGTTTCTGCGCAGCCTGGATTAATTGCTTTGGGGGGGTGCTCTGGGGTGAGATTTCTCTGCGGCCTACCAAAATTTTCTAGCAGCCCACCAATGGGCTGAGGTCCACTATTTGGTGACTGCTGGCCTAGACTACTGGTTCTCAAATATTTTGGACTTGGGGATCTTTGCAGCCCAAAAGAGCTGAGTTTATATCTTTTGATAAGGTAGTTACATGTTATAAATTAAAATGGAGTAATCTTAAAATATTCCTTTATTTGACTTGATGGACCTGTGAAAGAGTCCCGGGAACTCCCAAGGATCTCCAGTCCACGCTGGCAACTGCTGGTCTACATCATTGCTGGAACACCAGCTCTTTTTTTGAAAGTTAATTCAGGCTCTACTTAAGTGCAATGAGCTCTCCAAGGTCCTGAGACAGCTTTGCTCTGCCAAGTCCAGTCCTTTTGTTGATCTTAGAAGTACAGGTACCAGCTTTAGTGAATATTTTTTTAGTTCCTCAGCTGAGCCAAGACAATAATAAACTTTTCAAATAAGATGCTGCTGTTTTGATCTGTAAAAAGGCTGCTTCTTCCTTTGAAACATGGATTTACTGGATTTTGTGGACAGTTTTTCAGAATGGTATAGTATCTTTTCTCGATTATATACTAGATTTATTTCTGGGTTATCGGTAGTTTGCATGTATTATGTTAACAGTAATAAAACAAGATAATATACACAGCAAGTATATTTATAGATCCTGTTTGAGTTCTTGCAGACTCTGAGAATTCATGTCTCAGAGCAGCTGAAAATGTATTTTAGTTTAGTTTATTGTCATTGCACCTCGTACAACAAAATCAAACACCATCTTCAGTGCACATCATGACCATGAAAATATACACAAAGACACTTCCTTCACACTCCACACATTAACCGAAAACACCCAACACCGCATCAACACTGCACTATATAGTAGAATTCAAAAGAGCCACTGCCCTGGGATAGAAGCTGTTTTTCAGCCTATTTGTGCTTGTTTTTTATTATTCTGTACCGTCTGCCAAATGGTAATGGTTCAAAAAAAGAGTTCCCAGGATGGATCTTTGAGAATGTTTTGAACTTTCGTAAGGCAGTGGGAGCTATAAAGCTCTTCCAAAGAGGGGAGAGGGCAACCAGTGATCTGGGAAATTAAGAAAAATACCGTGTTTCTCCAACAATACGACCTCCCCCAATAGGAAGACCCAGCATGTTTTCTAGGCATAAAATGAAATTAAGCCCCCCCCCAAATTTAGGCCTATTTTAAAACATGCAAAATGGGGGGAAGGGTGGGGGGACTTGCCGTTAGGAGCTCCCCGCGGGCAGCAATTCCTCTCCACCAGCTGCTCCTAATGGACGATCATGGCAGAGCGTGGAGAGCTCCCTACTCCTGCCAAGCACCTTTGCGGCAGACCCAAGACCTTCAGCACCCGCCGCTGTTGATTTCCCTTCTGCCCATGCTGCCACCGCGTTTGGAGCACCACTGCTGTTGGAGCACCACTGCCGTTTGGAGCTGCCGCTTCTGCACTTGGAGCTGCCTCTGCATTTGGAGCTGCCGCTTCCATGTTTAAAGCACTGCTGCTGTTTGGAGCTGCCGCTTCCGCGTTTGGAACCCCACCACTGTTTGGAGCACTGCCGCTGTTTGGAGTTGCCATGCCTGCATTTGGAGCTGCCGCCGTGTTTGGAGCTGCCGCTTCCGCGTTTGGAGCACTGCCGCTGTTTGGAGCATAACTGCCATTTGGAGCGCCGCCGCCACTCCAAACACGGCGGCAGCTCCAAACACAGAAGTGGCAGCTCCAAACATGACGGCGATGCTCCAAATGGAGGCGGCACTCCAAATGGCAGCGGCACTACAAACACGGAAGCGGCAGCTCCAAATGTAGCGGGGGTGCTCCAAATGGCGGCAGTGCTCCAAATGGCAGCGGCACTCCAAACATGGAAGCGGCAGCTCCAAACGTGGCGGCGGAATGGGCAGAAGGGAAAGCAACAGCGTCGGGTGCCAAAGGTCTTGGGTCTGCAGCAAAGGTGTTTGGTGGGAGTAGGGAGCTCTCTGCGCTTCGCCATGATCACCTGTTAGGAGCAGCTGGTGTCAAGGCTGCCCATGGGGCACTCTAGATGAGGATGCAAGGGGGAGAATTAAGTCACCCCCAAAAAGACAGCCTAGCCGTTTTTGGGGGGCTCAAAAAAATATAAGACCTGGCCTTATTTTATGAGAAACACGGTAATAGGAGCTCAGACTATAGTTAGAGATTGTGGCTCCTCTTACATGAAGAAACGAGAAGGAGAGAGACGCAACCCATTAGCCTAAATCAGAAAATCAACTCCAGAACTATTTTATTAAGATAGTATAATAACAAAATCTTGTGACTGCTTTGCCTTCCCTCTTTCTTATACGCTAGTGAGTTTGGGGGGAGCCTATCTGAGTTGCTTCCAATCAAGTTGCTATCTTGATTCTTGGAACTTAAATAATGTTTCAGCCCTCTTTGCTTATGAAATAGTTGTTGCATATTTCTGTCTTGGGAGAATAGGAGCCACTTGATCATCCCCTCAGAGATGTGTTTGGATTAAAGTTTATTATTAACATCTTTGACACTTAGCTGGACTGACATTGAACTTGGATTGGTCTTCAGATAAGCTTTTTTCAGTTGGTTAGAGCCGATAGGCAGACTCTGTTTGCTGTTGGACAGTGTGACTGTGACTGATGCATTCCCAGAGTATTGGATGCGCTGGGATATTTTGCAGATGGAGGAATGAACCTGAGATAGCATAGGCGGTTAAAATCATCCACTATGATTTGGCGACCTTATGAGGCTGGGAGGGTTATCTGTCTATTTGGATGCTTGGCAGTGGACAGAGCTAGAAACTGGTTAGAGGATGAATCAGCTAATGGATCAGGCTGGAGGTCAGGCCACATCCATAGACCAATGTGTTTGCTATCCTTCTGAACCTGTGCTAGTGTTGACAAAGGATGGATGAGTGCAGACTGGGGTTGCACCAGGTTTGCTGCCATATTGGCTGCATTTGTGATCTTGGTGTTGATTGCCTCTGTTGAGTTTCATCTCTTTGCTGCTGATCTCCATCATGTAAGCAGATGACTGCATGGAACTTTCCAACTGGAGTGGCCAACCAGGACTTTGGGACTTGGATTATTAATGGGTGGGATGGATAGCAACAGACGGCAATCTTCTGTGGACTCCCTTCTCCCCCCCTTCCCTCTTCAGAGCCTTTCTCTGATAGCTCAAAAGCTTATTTTCCTCTCAACTTCGTCTGTCAGCTAAGTGCTTTGTTTGTATGTTTCCCCCCCTTAGGCCGAGTGCCTAGGAAAGGGATTAACTGGGAGGAGTGGATGAGAAGAGGTCTGTAACCAATGGGTGAGAATGGCTGGGGAGGGGCCCCTCAGATATTAAGCTGAATATATCTTTATATGTTTGTGTATGTGCTTTGCTGAGGGGGGCAAGGGTGCTAAATGCCTGTGAGTACTGGGAGCGAGTAAAGCTGAAGCATCTCAGAATGCTTGGTTTTCTCCTCTCTGGGATAACTGTAAGTGGTTATTATGGGAGATCCTGGGCCTTTGAAGTTGGGGGCTTTGGAGGAGAAGATGCCATGATCACTGGGGGGGACATGGAGGGCCATAATACTGTGGTGGTGATAGACATGGGAAGATCTGGTGGGAAAGGAGTGAGCTGCTCCAGGGAACACAGGACCAATGTTTTATACCTGTTTTGCATTCCAGCTCCTTCGTCTCAGTCCCAATACTGTCTGAGGCCCTGGATTCTGGATGTTTCTCTTAAATGTCAGGTCAGGTTGTAATAAGGTCTCCTTCATCTGTGATTGGCTTGTGGTTGAAAGGGCCAATATGGCATATAGTACTGAGGCTAGACCTTGAAGGGAGGGAGTGTCGGGCTACAAATGTAGCCATAGCCCAGAAGCTAGGACAGGGATGGTGGTACGGCAATTGTCATCTGATAATTGTTTACATCTTTCAGGGAAGTGTTCTATAGGTTACTGGATGTGAGACCCTGTTCATTAAATTTGGCTCTAGTGATCAGTTGGGATTATTGCTGTTGTACCAACCTCCCTGCTGCAAAGCAATCTACCTGCCTGAGCCCTTTGATTTCATCTCTGGGTTGATGGTGGAATTCCCCAGCCTTACGTTCTTGGGAGACTAATATGGCTCCCCTGGAAGTAGGATTTACGGTATCTCAAGAATACTTTTTCCATACACAAATATGATCATTTTCCTCAATGAATCAATGAACATACATTTTTAAATCTGGGTTTTCTTAATTTAGATTTAGGGCTTCTGTGAAGAACAGATCATATTTTATGTCACATTTATGCAGAAATATTGAAAATTCAAAAAGCTTCAAAAGCTATTAAGGACTACTACATCTTCAGGTTTTTTTTATCCTGGGAATTATAGTACATCTTTAGTGAGTAACCATTTTATGAACTTCATATCCCAGAATTGGGGAAAGTAAATGAGAATTCATTCCTATTTTCAACTGACAAAGTAAGAGTTCTTGATAAAGATACAAATTAATTCAAAATTAATTTGAATAAGTAATCCCAATGCTATCCAGACCTCTTCTTAAATTTCCTTTTAAACTCTGTGAATTTTCTTGAGGCACTGGGAACAGAAGACCAAGATCATTTCTGATTTATTCACCCTGGTTGCAAAGTTCTACAGTTCTTTGGACTTTGTGATCTGTGTATGGAATTTTCCGCAGCCATCTGTTCCCTGTCCCACAATTATGAAGGACATAGATGAATTACAGTACCAAATGCTGTTTGCTATGCAGTATTCAGTCTGCTTCCATATACATATATGTCCCCTTGTACTGACAGCTGTTGCCCTCATACTTAGACCATGGAGTATACTTATTCCACATGTCACCAAACTAACTGACTGACAAAAAAGCATTTCTAGTGCTGAATCTCAGCCACAAGATTAAAGTTCATGATTTGCATGAGGTATTCAAAAAATTATACCATGGGTCATTTCATCTTTCAATAGAAGTGAATATATGTAGCTCAGAGTTGGACTGTGGAGTCCTTGGTGCTCTCTGAGCTTTGCTGTTGTCTTGAAGATGTTTCATTACTTGATATAGTAACATTATCAGTACTAGTAAGTGTGAGGTTTTATCTCTGTTTATATATAGTAGCTTCCCCTGCTAGTATTGGTCAGGGTGCAGTTTTCTCCTTAGGAATTCCTTTGTTAGGATTTGCCATGGGCTTGATTTTTTTGTCTCCTGTTAACTTCTGTTTATCTGGACATTGGTGCTGAAATAATAAAATTTGTTTGAGTAAGTGAGCTATCAGTGATGCAGGGTGGGTGGAGAAGAGTGTGTGAAACCTGTTGGGCTAGCAAAGCAGCCCCAATGCCTTTGGGGACTCGGCAAGGCAGGATGGGGCAATAGGTGAGATGGCATGCTGCAGTGTTTCTGTGGTCAGTTGTAATAGTGAATGATCACAGAGGTGGTACAAGAAATGTAACTTTGGAATAGGGTCATAAGTACCTTTGGGAAGTCTGTTGTAACTTTGGATCATCAGTAACTGACCTGTCATAACTCATGAACAACCTGTATTAGAATGCAAGAATCACAAATTTAACAATTCTTCAGATAGCAAACATCACTAATACAGTGAACTTGATTCCAAGTCTGCAGTTTATCATGTGTTTACCTAGCACACCATTTCTTGTTTGGGTAAGCATTAGGCTTTGCAGGGTGATGAGAAAAGCTCATTGCAGGGATATTAATAGTCTTTTGATCATCGTACTCCTTTATCTGGATTATCTTCTATATTAAGGATTCCCTCTGAGTCATTGTACTCTCCCAAATGCTTATTCTTCCCCTTGACAAATTATTTCCTTCTCTAGGTGGCTAATATGTTTATGACTTCACCAATATGGTTCGGTATAAACAAATCTTCCACAAAAGGGGTCACTCAGAGGCAATTTTGTCAAAAAAAAATTGTCACCTCCCTTTTGCAAAAGTCAACAAGGTTCTGAAATGAATCACATCCTGGGCTGCAGGGAACTGAACTCCTAAAGCAGTCCTGGGATCCATTGAGATTGATTAGATGCCTGAGGTGACCCATTTGAATTGACTCTAGTAATCATCAGTCTCCCTGGATAAGTAGCACTCTTTTGCATCAAGGTTTATGCAATACAGGGCTACAAATGGATACAAGTCAATCAGTGCTTAATAACTTAAGTGTATTATCCAATCAGGGCTCCTGGTTTATATAAGTTTCAAAAATAGAGACACACATTCCAAGATGGAGTTTTTGTATATTTATGAATGTATAAAGGAATTGTTTACATTGTTTAAGAAGTAAAAAGTATTCTAGCTTATTCATTGCATGATAACATGTTTATTCCATATTGATATATTTTTGGAAAAAAGAAAGTTCTCCCGAACACAAGGTTTTCATTTTGGCTTTAGAAATTAAAAAAGTAAAACAAAGATATATAATGTTTTTGAAAATGAGCTAGGTATATGATGGAAATATGTAGGTTAGAAGAGTGAACGAAAAGGTGTTTTTTTAAATCGGTGATGAACATTTTTAGATCTGAATGTACTTTCATATTGAGCCAGCTTTTAGATTGATGTGAAATATAGCAGTTACACAATCAAAAGGTATATCGCCTGCCATTCTGCTCAAAAGAGACAAGCTCTTCTTTATGCCAAAAAGGGAACTAGAACTTTCCTATTCTAATTTGACAATATATAAATATTCCATTTGAAAATACTGTACTCCGTGGATTTTTTTTTTTTGTCTTGTTACTTTAACCTTCTTCTTAATACATTTTCCTAATAGTAATAGCAATAGCATTAAGACTTATACACCCCCCCTATAGTGCTTTGCAGTTTGCTATGTAAGTATTATTTGCTTATTGCCCCCAACAGTCTGGATCCTCATTTTACCAGTCTCAGAATGATGGAAGGCTGAGTCATCCATGAGTCCCATCATGCTCAAACTCCAGGCTGTCCGTAGCCTGCAATACTACTCTTTAATCACTGCGCCATCAGACTACCCTAATCCTAATCCTAACTTGTTTTTGAGTTAAACCTTGCTAATCAGAAGTTGTTTTTGAGTGTAACATTTTCCAATATGGACTGCTATTAGAAAGCAATAATTTTGATTAAGCCCTACTCCCTCTACTACAAAACAACCTTGCTTCAAAGTTATGGCTTCTGGTCATAGTGAGCTAGCCTCTTGCTATGCAACTCAATGCTGAATGGATTGTGAGTATCTTGCTTCAGCATGAGAATCAGGGGGCCTGCATCTACTCAGATTATCTATTTTGCTCAATTCCCCAGAAGATGGTATTTAATTGTGGGCTCTTGAAAGATGGAGCTGCAAAATGAAAGATGGAGCTGCAAAATGTTTCTATTATTCTATTAACCCTGCTCTGGACAATTAAATCTATTTTCTACTTAAACTGAGATCTGCCTTTTTTAGACTCTGCCAGAAAATCAACAGTTAATTGTGTCAAGATAAATTGCAAGATACTGTATAGACATTTATAGTTGCATGCTTCAACATTACTTTAGAGAGAAACGTTAGCTGGAATGAGCTAGCTTTACTTGACCAGTTTAAAGACCTTGTGCATGATGATCCATTTCAGAAAGGCACTCCAGATATCTTGGAGGAGATTATTCAGTGCTGCCTTATCCCTAGATGGACAGCAAGAAGAACTAAGGCAAACAGCTGATGAAAAGCTGATCTGTATTTCTTCTTTCTTTCACATCGGCTTTTTCAGTGGATTGTTATTGTTCAGTCACTAAATCATGTCTGACTCTTCCTGACTCCATGGACCACAACATACCAAGACCCCTGTGTTCCACTCTCTCCCAAAATCTGTCCAAATTCATGCCCAGTGCATTGATGACATTATCTAACTATCTCATCCTCTGCTGTCCCCGTCTCCTTTTGCCTTCATTCATTCCCAACATCAGGGCCTTTTCCAATGAGTCCTGTAGCTTCTTCAGTAGTCAACTACAGTATGTAATTGGAAGTAGTTGTCAATCATTGTCAGCTACAGAAAAACAACACAGAAGCTTGGTGGCTTACAAGCGAATCTTCACATCTCATCCTATCTTTATTGGAAGGAAGAAGAATTCAAAGTGGAATAGGACAATTGAAGTAGAACATCTGATTCTCTAGAAGAATAGCAATAGCTATAGGACTTCAATACTGCTTTATAGTGCTTTACAGCCCCCTCAAAGCGGTTTACAGAGTCAGCATATTGCCCCCAACAATCTGGGTCCTCATTTTTCCAATCTCAGAAAGATAGAAGGTTGAGTCAACCTTGAGCCTGGTGAGATTCAATCTGCCATATTGCAGGCCTCCGGCAGGCAGCAAAAGTAGCCTGCAGTACTGCACACTAACCAGTGTGCCACCAAGGCACAGAAGAAGAAACATCAAGATGCTAGGAAACAGCAGATTTCTGTATGCACTCCATCTTCAAAAAAATTTTCAGTACCCATAGAAACCTAATTTTTCCTAATTGGCCTTTCTGCCCCCAAAATGTCTTCAATACAGACATGGTATTCTTCCGATTAAAATCAGAATTCCAAATTTGGGGGGAAAACTGACAGGACAATTAATCAGTGGAACAACTTGCCTCCAAAAGTTCAGATAACAGATAATCAGAGTTGGAAGGGACCTTATTAGGTCAT